CCCGCTTTGCTGAGCCAAGTCAGAATGGGTGTGGGGTGGGTTATAAGTTGTTATATGAAAATGCATATGGGTGTGGGGTGGGCTGGTGTTGGGGCTCTGTGCAGAGGTCTCTGCCAGTACCATAGGGCTGGGGTCAGTGCCGGCAGCACTGCTGCCAGCAGGAAGAACCAGCACCGTACCTACAGGCTGGGGAACTCACTTCTCATCAGTGCAGAGGCAGAAAAGGATCTTGGAGTCATCATTGATGCCAAGATGAACATGGGCCGGCAGTGTGGGGATGCAGTCAGAAAGGCCAACCACAACTTGTCATGCATCCACAGATGCATCTCAAGCAGGTCCAAGGAGGTGATACTCCCCCTCTACGCGGCACTGGTCAGGCTGCAGTTGGAGTACTGCATCCAGTTCTGGGCGCTGCACTTCAGGAGGGATGCGAGAGGGTCCAAAGGAGGGCCACTTGCATGATCAGGGGGCAGCAGGGCAGGCCCTACAAAGAGGCTAAGGGACCTAAACCTGTTCAGCCTCCACAAGAGGAGGCTGAGGGGGGATCTAGTGGCCTGTTACAAACTAGTCAGAGGGGACCAGCAGGCATTGGGGGAGTCCCTGTTCTCCCGAGCACTACCAGGAGTGACTAGAAATAACGGTCACAAGCTGGCAGAGGGTAAATTCAGATTAGACATCAGGAGGCACTACTTCACTGTCAGGGCGAGTAGGATCTGGAACCAACTTCTAAGCAAAGTGGTGCTGGCTTCTACCTTTGGGGTCTTTAAGATAAGGCTAGACAATCACCTTGCTGGGGTCTTTTGACCCCAGTACTCTTTCCTGCCATGGCAGGGGGTCAGACTTGATGATCTGTTCAGATCCCTTATGACCCTACTAACTATGAAGCAGCTGGAAGAAGCTGCCACTGCCTGGGCTGCCTAAAAAGACAGTCCAGCTGCAGAGGTACCCCAGCCCTGCTGCATGCCCAGGTGGGATGCACAATGGGCCGAATAGCGCCTGGGCCAGGCAGGATTGAAAGACCCTCACAGCCATATTTTGCGCACCCCTGCTCTAAATTGTTTAGGCTGGCACAATTGGCCAATTCCTCTTCCCCACTGTGATAGGAACAGTGATCAAGACCACTCAAGTTAAGTGTATTTAAATAAGAAGTGTTGCTTTTTTCGGCAGATTCCTCATCTTCCTTACCCAAGGGTACCTAAAAGGATTGGTGAATTTTTCTGAGTCTTTTACAGTGTTGTTATTTTTCTGATCCCAGGAATCTCGGATGGTTGATAGAAGTGGAGGGTGGAGTTCATGCGTGGTCTGCTGGAAGAAACAGGAGTTACGTTAAAAAGGATGAGTCTGTATTAAATCAGCTCTATTTATAATTTTGTGTGTTCAAAGCTGAGTGCTTGTATAACATCACTTTTAAAATGGAGCTAAATAAAATAAAGTACCAGCGATGCAACAAATAGTCACGTTAGACTTCAGGAAATTAGCTGCATTATCTATAAGTGGAGTACATGTTTGGATAACAAAAAAAGATGTTAATCTAATTTCTTGATGACTAAAAGCCACTAAGTCCATGTTTTAAAGTACTTGCTTCCTGATGTTGTCTTAAGCTTTTGCTATCACAGTTAGAAACAGTATAAATACACATCCAATTACTGACTTAATCATGGGGCTGCTATTTCTGTTGATAAATGCTGGACTTTTAATGCATCAGTTTAGCAGAATTGGAGACTGGGGTACTAAAAGATATCCCTTATGTTCTTGTTGCACACTTCCCTTTTTTGCTTTTCAAGAAAATGGGAACCAAGTATTTTAATATGCATCTAATGTGGATCACAATTTTGGTATTGGTTCAGAAAGGAAGTCAGACTGATGACTGACACAAGTCTGGTAATATATTGAATGTAATAATTCAGTATCCCATGAATTTTAAGTTGTAGAGGAAAATAAATCATTTGGCTCCGCTTAGCTTTGATAACTATTTATAGAAAATAAACAGCTGTCAGACTGGATAGATCATTTGTTCCCATTGTGAAGGGTTATCAATGTTAAGTGGAAATAATATAATGTAGAATTAATAATATAATGTAAAATTGTGGGTTCAGTTAAGGTTTGGCTAGGAATTTTTAATTGGATAGCTTGCTTCTATAAATTATGCATGCTGAAAGCTTCAAATATGTTTTAAGGCATCCAAGGCGCTCCTAATGGAGACAAATAGATTAAATATATTTTTTAGCTTCATTCATTGTTTGCTATCTCAAGTCTGAGTTTCACAGATTAATTGTAGTACATGTTGAATTCTATCATATTGGTAACTATAAGATACCGTTTACTAGCTGGCAAGTGGACCAAAAAAAGCTAAATGAGCATTCCCCAACTGGAGCTATATCCACCAAGTATTAGAGAAAATGTCCCCTGGGGGCATTATTAGAACGTAACAGTTTCTGCATTTCCATATAATAACTTTTCAGTAAAAAGTGTGAGTGTTTATGGATGACAAGTATTTGTGGCTGGCATGTACACATTGGATGAGGCCCTTGCGATGATGATCTGACTCTTCAAGATTAGAGTACCTTAACTTTACTTAAAGTGTTTTGTATTTGCAAATTCATAGGGTACCTTTTTAGCTTTGAGTTATGGAACACTTGCTATCCCACTCTATTTTCTTTCTCTGAAAAAAAATGGAAAATGATCCCTTCTCCAAAACTCCAGTCTTCTGGTCAACTAAGCTCAGAGTACCTCAGGGTGACACCCTTTCTGGCCTGTGTTTGGTGTTTGTCCTGGCCTCCTTTTATACTAGCTTTGTGCTGCTATTTTTGTTTTATATCCGTGATGGCATATCACTGTTCAATATAATTTTACATCTTATGGCTATCATTTTTTTTCGTTCTTTTTGAAGGATTTTGTCAAAAGTCTTCCTGAAAACTTGCAGAAACTGATTCTCCTATTTGATCTCAATACTTTAAAAAATGCATTGTGTAAAAAGTATGGTATTCTCTTTAACATTTCTTCAAAGCATCACCTATTTTAAAAAACCTTTGTTTTTCTGTTTCTTGACAAGAAGGCTGACTATGAACACAGTAAGACCATAAATGCCACACACACTTTCTCTGCAGCTTCCTGCTGTAGTGTAGTATGTATTTGGTTTTGCTTGCTTGTATCTTTGGTGAGGAGGAGTCTTGTTTGCACTTGCTTGGTAAATAAAGAAACCTTGTTTGAGTGAGTGAAGTTCTATTCTTACTTTCTCATATTAGAAGACTGGTAAATATAGCTGGATTGGAATATAGTATTGGTAAATAGAATCCAGACATAGCAGTACTTATTATGGTTCATCATTAGGATCAGAAGATGTAGAAAGTTGTTACTCTTATCAAAATAGTTTGTCCTTCAGAGACATAATACATTGGCTAGGGAAAGCTGTTTCATAAAATCTCCTTATAACAAATCAATGGTAAAACTAGTTAGGATGAACTATTATTTTCATGGTAACATACTATTCCAGAGAAAACAGCCCTTCTCAGGACTAAATACAGCTCATGTCTAATACTTTTGAACCTTCAGAGCTTTCTTACTGAAAAATATTCCCCCTGGCCCTGAGTGTTTCTCAAAGGACCCATTAAGTATGTGCAGATAATCTAATTATATGCATCCACATGGATTACATTTCCTTCCACTGAGTTCTGAGAAATAATTCACACTGGTGTTCTAGGTGTCTCGAAAACTTACAACAGAAAACGTACTCTCTCTTCTAAATGAGAGAAAAAGAATCTGATAATTTTTGAGTGAGTCTGTTACAAGCATATTCTTAGTATTTACCGTTCTGTAGAAGGTAGAAGGCATCTTGCTGTCTAATGCAAAACACATGATTCAGGAAAATGAACTTAAAATCTGTAAACAACTCCTCTTTTCTAAAGTACTGTCTCAAATGCATTAACTGATAAGTAGTCTAGTAAGGCTATTAAATAGGACCTCTAAGTTTTAGTATAGTTAGATTTCAGTGGAAAATATCCTATGCGTAAATGAGGGAACATTATGGCTTTCTCCTCTCATTCCAATCTAATTTTCTATTGTTGGGCTCTAGCAACCAAGGTATTTAATAAAGTTTAAAAAAGGAAGAAATGTTTATGCAGAATTTTGGCTTCACCATGTTCTAGCATGGCATACCATGGCTGGAATTAAAAGGTGCTTTCCTCTGCAGTTTGCATCAATGGCAAAACTCCCACTGAGTTTTGGATCAAGCCAAAGTTAGTAAGAACTGTTCTCAAGCCTAAGAGGCTCTGTATCTCCTAGAACATATCAGGAGTTCAGCAGAAGAAAGGAGGCTGGTAAATGCTGCTTCTCTACATTGTATGACTTCAGTGTATTGTATGACAGCAGTGGCCACCGGGTAAGCAGGACAGCACGTAACTCTTCTATGTAGTTCCTGCCAGAACCATGAGGCTTCGCTACAATGGTTGTGCCAGTGGATATGCAGCGCATCCTGGGAGGTACCAGCTGCTAAGAAGGCTGCAGAAGGTGTGGGCACATCTGCAGGCATCTTCCTTCAGTTGCTGGGATGTGACAGAAGCCTCTCTGCTTACAGAGCTTATGTTGCCCTATTTGCAAAAAGGAGGAGCTGTGAATAGGGAGGAACTCACAGTTTTGCCAGAGGGAAGAGACAGAAAGAGAAGGACTAGAGAATCTAACCACTTGGTTTTTTCCCATATGAAATTATTTTTAGAAGGCTCTCTCATAACACACAATATTGCTGAAGTGGCAATGGCACTTGATAAACTTCTAGTAAGTGTCTGTGCTCACAATAGTTATACTGAATTCCTCATAAGTATGCCCTGATCCATGTCTAGGGCTATGATGATACAGATAGTTATACTGACACCATCACAGTGTTGTGTTTGAAGTAAGGGCCAGGGGTGCTGGGTTGGAAAATTTCAAAGGGAGGGTCCAATCATCTCCCCAGAGACTGTATTATTTGACAACAGAATATGTATGGTTCATTCCCCATCCTCTAGAAACATTTATCTAAGATCTGAACTATTTCTGCCAGATTTGATTTAGAAATCTCTAGAAAGTGAATTCCATAAAAGAAACTGATGCAAAAAGAAAATAACTAAAATCTTGCCACCATTTTCTGTGCTGGGATCCTAACGTGCTCCCAGGTGCTCTTCCAGCATCTCTGGGTATGGTGCACAAGGGAGCCAGCTATGACATAGTTCTAATATTGGTACCTTATTATCTATTCCCTTCTTTTCTCTCATCTCCATATTTTTTTTACTTTGGTCATACGTTAGTGTTTTACTCCCTTGCAGCATTTTCCTACTGAAGCTAATAGCTGCCATATCACACTGCATTCAAGCACAGAAGCATTTTACATGGAGCCATCTGCAGAATTAAATTGACTGCTATCCCATGTGAGAAGGGTTCAACCTCACAGAACAGTTGGTAGGATCAAGGTCTGTAGTCACATTTTGAGAAATTAATATATTGGCATTCATTTATTTTTTCCTTAAAACAGTAGTCCTTAAAATGCATGTATGTAGCAATTTCAGTTGCTATGTGGATCCATTTAAAGTAATAGTATCAGAATAGTCACTATGACATGGATTAAAATTATGAAGACATAACTTTACACTGAGTACTTCTGAGATTTTATGTGCAGCATACTACATCTCAGTCAAAGAAATTTTAAGTTTTTTCCTTAACAGGAATTGGACTGAGTTAACTGTCCCTCTTAAATAGAAGGGAAGATAGTTTTAGAACTGAAGGTACAAGTCTGAGATTTAAAAGAACTGGCTTCTATGTAAGGTTTTGCTACAAATTGTCTGACTTTGACAAGTCACTCAATGCCTTAAGCATTGATATTATGATGAGGATAGCGATGTCCATAAATTAAAAAAAAAAGAACAGAAAAAAGCTTCCATATTTTATTTGGAGGAGCTAGAGTGCAGGGTTGCTTCATGTCTAGATTTTAAAGAGTAACATTAACTTGCTGTTTCTTAACCATCTCTCTCTGCTCTGCCCTTTGCTTGTCAGTTTAGCCCCTTATTCAACAATCAGATTTCAGATTTTTTTTAATCCAAGCACAGCTCCTTTGACTTCAGCAGGACTCCATGAAAACTCCCTAAACTTAGTGTGATTTCAGGATTGTGGCCTTAGATTGTAAATTCCATGGGATAGGGCCTGGGACAGTTTGAAGCATGTCCTTATACAGTTCTGGTATTCTAGCTGAGGTTAGTTGCCATTCTCTTTAAATGGCTGTGTTTGTAGAGTCAGCTGCAAATTGTCAGAGCTCTCTCTCTGCCAGAAGGGCATTTGTGCCCAAAAGCTTGCAAAGAACAATTTTTCCAACTATTTAGTTGGTCTAATAAATGACATCATGTCTACCCAAAGAACCTACCCCCTACCTGCCTACCTCCTTAGAGCAGCATGCCTACAACAACCAACTGACCAACCCTAAACATTGGCAAGGATCCCGAGATGAGGAAATGCCTGCAGATGGGCCTGCTTTATTTAGATGCATTTTCCTTCCTCCATTCCTTCTCCCTCAGTTGGTCTCCAAGTTAAAGCAGCCCTCTCTTTTTATTCCAGTCCAGTCTCGGCAAGCTAGAAAGGGGGTGAACCTCTAGCCCACTGATTCTCAGCCAGGGGGCATGGTGCCCTGAGGCATTCACTTGAGCTCCTTTCAGGCACTGTTTGGCACTGAACTGTGGCTCACAGGAATCCACTCTCAGATTTTGGAGGGGCGTGTTGAGAGATGCTCTGCCCTGCTGTGGTGTTTCTGAGCTCTTGGCTAGAGAAGAGTCACTCTGGTGCCAATTTTTTTTTCCGGGAGTCAGCAAAAGTGAAAAGTCCGAGCCGGCATGGCCTGAGCGGGAATCAGCTATAAGGAAGGTTGAGAGCCGCAGCGATGTGGCCCGCTCGCTTCTCCTGAGACAGGGCTCCAGCCCCTCTCGCTGAGGGGACCGGGCCGGGGAAGGGCGGCCCGCAGGGGGCGCGAGCCCTCGTCCTGCTCGGCGGCCGGGCGGCAG